ATATGATTTTTAAAAACAAAAATACTTTTTTTGGCAGGTATTTCCTATATTTTTCAACACAAAATGTACGTTAACAAATAAAACAAAAATTCAACAGTTATTTTTTTTTTTTCCTGCATAATGGGTTGACTAAATCGCAGTCGGGCAGAGTCTCTTTCAATTTCTTATTCCTATCTTGTCTTCCGGTACCACATTTTTATGGTTTAGTTTTTTTAATATTCAGAATGCTTCAGAATGCTTTAAAATTCCATTAATAAGACAATTATTTATAATAAAATTCTATTCAATCGGGAGACTCATAACGATTGAAAACAATGTTTTTGTTTGAGTTTGGGTTTGACCAATTCGTAAAAAAAAAAAAAAAAAAAAAACTAATTAAGACATGCGTGTCCTTCAACCTTAAACAATAATCTTTGTCAATTTTATTTTTCAGTCTTTATGATGGTGGATACTTGATCTATCTCTTACTGTTATATCCCCGGGCAACGCCGGGCTTTACCGCTAGTATATATATATTTATATATATATATATATATATATATATATATATAAAACAGTGTTGTGCGGCATTGTCATTTCAATACAGTACGCTAAATTTAGTTGTTTCATTCCATCGAATGAAGATATCTCAGTAGTAGAAAATCTGACTTACACCAAATCGGTTGGGATCCTGGTTTGATGCATTCGTATGTCTAGTCTCACTGAGGAGCTGTGATACTGTCTGCGAATGACATAATTGAGCACTGTTGAATGAGAAGCTAATTCTATAAACAACAGCCACCTGCGCTAATGCAGAGGTCTTCACTAAAATGAATAGAGCTCTTTGGCTGATTGGAATTTGTTTACATTCGTAAAAACAATACGCTAGATTTAGCAGTTTCATTCTGTCGAATGAAGATAGCTCAGTGGTAGAAACTCTGACTGACACCAAATCGAATGATTTTCAATCCTGGCTTGAGACATTAGGATGTCTAGTCGCACTGAGGAGCGGCGAAACAGTACTGTCTGCGAATGACACACACACACACACACACACACACACACACACACAAATATATATATATATATATATATATATATATATGTCATATCTCCATTCAAATATGTTTCATTGAATAATATAAACATATTATGTCTGTTTATTTTATCATAAGCAGTTTCTTGATGTTATAAAATTCATAAAGATAGCTCAGTGGTATATATATATATATATATATATATATATATATATATATATATATATATATCAATTTGTCGTTCCCCACTATAGTAATTTTTATGCCAAAGATCAATAAAATATGTTAATTAGTCTAATATTTTCCTATTTTTTTTTAAATGGCAGGGTTGTTAAATAAATTATATAATAGGAACTCACGTTATAAACCTCAAATAATCATTATAGCTATGTCCCTCGTAAAAAGAATTCTCAAACATAAATCTATCGAGATAGTTGTTCACACATAAAAAACTACCTACATTAATCTGAGATATTTTAGTTTTAAATCAAAAATTTAAAAATCAAATCACCTTATATGAAATATTAAATTTACACTATTAGCTTGAAGTTAAAATTAAAATAAAGGCTTCAATACAATAGACTACCCACAATGCACCAGTGACCTGTATATATAAATAGTCGAGCCTAAACCCAATGCATAAGGTCTGTGGATAGCGTTTAAACTTAACAATGAGAGTCGTCGCTGGGTGTTGAATTCTATATTTACATACGCTCTATATTGAGCAATTTAACCCATAAATATAGTATACCTTACAACTATATATATATATATATATATATATATATATATATATATATATATATATATATGGTGTATCAAATTATTTGTACAAACTTTGTGGACAGTTCCTGACACTAAAATAAGGTAAAATATCGTTGTACCTCAACACACCAACTCATAACAAATGTTCAAAATGGCTTCCGCTTGTTTCTACACGCACATGCACCCGTCGGATCATTGACTGGCGGAGTCTTTCAAATACTCCTACACAGTGTCGATTGGTTTAGCAGGCCACCATAAAACGTTGATGAATCGTCTTTGCATTAAATATCTCCTGCCTAGACCAATTGGTTTAGGACTGAGGGCGGGAAACGTGCAGGCAATGAAACCGTTGTCCTCTTCCTATCTCTATTTCATGATAGATGCATAGCGAACAGTGTTCTAAAATGTGCTGGAGCTTTATCATGCATGAAACACGTTTTCGTATTAGCAGAGATACATCCCCTAGCAGGTCTGGAAGTGTTTTCGAAATAATGTGCCTGTAGACAGCTCCTGTAAGACGTGCCGGGAGAACATATGGACTTACCAGACAGTCATCTGCAATTCCAGTTGACATATTAAGCGTAAACTGATGCTAGTACCTTGCCTGTATTGTACCATGTGGATTTCGATCTGCCTGCAAATTTAGGTTGTGTGAATATTTTATTTCATCTCTTCCAAATGATGCCTAATCGGTAAACAACATGGAAGAAACAAACAACGTATCGACATTTTGTGCAACAAACCATTAGCAAACGTTCTCCAGTGGTTATTGACCAGAAGGCGAAAGACCCTCCACATGTTGCAAATAATACGGATACAGGAGCTGCTCTTGAAGTACCCTCAATGAGATATTATGATACCTGAATCGTCTCCAACTGCCTGTAGACAGTATTCTCTCTGGTCAGAATGACGTTCATCCTTGATTCATAATTAGTAGTGGTACGGATTCTGTGTCAACAGCGCGTTGCTAAACAGCAGAAAATGTTGGATGTCTCGGCTTCTTTCAGTCTGAAAACGCAAACAAATATGGCTGTCCAGCCTTTCTTTCATTATCATTGATATGTAAAAATCATATCTGTCCGCTCAAAATATGAATATTCTGCCATTGTTAAACGAAACACTTCTCAGGTATCTCACTACTACACACCTTAAATGTTAAAGACAGACTAACCATATGTGCAGACGAATGACAAATATAACCTAGTCTAGATGGTAACACAGCGCCATCTACCGTAAAGTATAGTTAAACTTGTTATATACCGTACCTGTGAACACTAATGGTTATGTCCCAAACCTCATAAATATGTTGCCTAAGTAGGCCACCATTAACAGTGGTTTAGCTACTTTACGCTGCTGCTGAGTATTTTATTTTGTTGATGTTTTAAAGATTACCATTTCATTTCCAATCTCTGATTATTCATCATTCAGTAAGCCTTCCTAGATTACAAGAAAATTTAATAACTGAAAACGAATGATTTATCGACATATATATTTATATTGAGTTCTGTCCTTATTTTCCTTTGAGGAACCCTCCCCAAATTTTGCAAATCTATATGTGATACACCCTATATATATATATATATATATATATATATATATATATATATATATATATATATATATATACTATGTGTGTGTATGTGTGTGTGTGTGTGTGTGTGTGTATTAACAAGAAGATAAACGTTTTTTTTGAAACATGTATTTTTTTATTTTAAAATATATATTATACTCTATTTTCCCAAATTATGGAAATAAGAGTAGAAATATATTTTAAAAATAAAAAATTCTCATTCATCCTAAAATGTTTTCTGCTTATCTTCTTTTTTAAAATATACCCTTTCCTCTCGTTGGAATAACTATAAACTCTCCCATATATATATATATATATATATATATATATATATATATATATATATATATATATATATATATATATATATATATATATATATATATATATATATAATCAAAAGGCCACACAGCGTATTTTTTAAATTAGTTGATTTGCATTTAAAATAAGAAAATATTATTCTACATGTTTAAAAAAAAAACGTGAGATATAATTTTTCTCATTAGAAATTTTAATATGACAAAAAGAAAAAAGCATTTTCATTAAATTTTTCTCTCCCAAAATATTCTCCTTTAATCTTGATAGCTGCAGCACAAATTTTCGCCATGTTGTAACACTTTCTCAAAGTTTAAGTTTGATAATTGATTCCATTCTTTTTTTAATGACTCTAAGATTTCGCATTCATTTTTCTCACTCTTCTTTCAAGTACCTCCGATTGTAATATGTATATCACGTTCGTAATCTTTATTTAAAAAATGAATCTGCATTGTTGAGTTTAAGCCAAGAATTGTATATAAAAACGCAACATAATAAATGTTATTCTGTTACACCATGAACGACCCAAACGTCGTAATGATTTATGCATTCAATTGGTTCCAACTGAATTACAACGCGAAAATGATTTATAGAGAGTATCTCTGCGATGACGCGTCTTCTGCATGGTACCCGAATGATTTTTAATCATCATTTTGATTTGGTCCTCATCACACTATGATCACCATCTGCAAACTTCTGTCTTCCAGATTAATATTTCTCCTTCAGCGACTTGCGAAGCGCTTACAAAAGTACTCACTTATACTGCCATCTCCATAAACGGAACATAACTATCTTGATGTTTGTACAGAGAGTATTAAAAGAAAAATTATATCTCATTGACCTTCATTTATAGTTTTAACAATTAATATTCGTGATCCACACATAACTAAACTTAAGTAAACTTTATAATGACGCGGTGAAATGTCACCTTTCAGAATATGAATATATATCATAAATTTTCGTTAAAGGTGAAGCAAAATCATGTGTTCAAATGTCACCTACTGAAAAACACTACGAACGTTTGTTTCAACCATATATATATATATATATATATATATATATATATATATATATATATATATATGTATATGTGTGTGTGTGTGTGTGTGCGCCTGTGTATGTCTGTGGGTGTGCTTACAAACGTGAGTGTGTGTGTGAGTATATATATATATATGTATGTGCTTGGCCGTGTGTTTCCAATAAAAATCACGTATTCAACCTTAAATGGAAGCGTGTGCGCATATGGAACTTATATTTTTGTATATTTTAATTTATGTTTCATTCATTCTTTTTTATTTATTCCCATATGTAGTAATGTTTATCCTTATTTGTGGCTAAGTGGGTCTCGGTGAATAATTCTCTGCGTCTGTGCATTCAAATCGAATGAGAGAAAGAGATACAGAGAATACAATGAAAAAGTGAAAAGCAGTCTGTGTGCGCATGCGCATGCGCTTGCGTACACTGCGGACAAAAACCTCGTGGGCGTTCGCATTGCGAGAATGCCCCTCTCTCCGTGTCTTTTGATCTGTGCGGCTCTGTACTTTATTTTGTTGTCGCCTATTTGGGCGTGGAGATCGGGTGTTCGTCTGGATCTGTTAGATAATCGCCCGCTGAGAGCTACTCCGATGAGACAGCCTCATTTTTTTTTTATTATTCAGCATGTAATGCCAAATGTCGAACAATCGATCTGATTGCCGAAGATATCCGGAATGAAGAACGCTAGCAAAAGCAGACGGCATTTGGGCAAGAGACAGAAGAGTCAAAGAAGTACAAACACACAACAGACACAAAAAGAAAAAAAAAATGTAAAATATAAAAATGGCAAATAATAAAAAAAATAATAACACGGCTACATGAGGAATTTTCCAGACCGAAACTGAGTCATTCCTAACAGAGACCAGTATTTTTTTTTTTATCATAACCAATACAGAATTAGAAAGATTTTAAAAATAGATAGGCCTGTTAAAGCGCATAGCCACATAAAGAATGTAAAAAGCATGTACACCTCGGAAACGTAGTAAATAAAGACGGGAAGAAAGAATTGTAAGAAAGTATAAGAAATCTGAATTTACAGTCGTTAATGAGAAGAACAACTCAAGATACGAGTTACGAATTGTGGATGTTAAAATCTAGCAACTACATGAAATTTCAATATCTTGGAATTGTTACATCAGGGGACAGAAAAATGGACGCTATTGTCAGAAGACGCATTGGAATAGCATAAGCTGATCTACGAAAATTGAAGCATGAAAAATGTTACAAAGAATGTCTATCGGCTATATAATATCAATTCTACTATGGCAGGGTGAATAGAGGAAAATTCAGTAATGGAAGATTCGCTAACGGAAAATTTTGTGATTTTGACAAGTTACGAAAATTCGGTAACTATTATATAGAAAGTCGAATGAAAATTGATTCTAGGGCCGTTCGGGAGTGAGGCTTTGGAGGCTAAGCCTCACCCCCTATATTTTTAAATAACTGTAGATCATGGGGCACAGACAAAACCCCACTTCTATAATACAAGGGCCGTACTTGCAGAAGCGGAAATATTGAAGAGACTCGACCTCCTTCCCAAATACTTAATTTTTTTTTTTTTAACTATAGGGGTCTAGATAAAATTTTCTAGATAATGTTTTTGGGGGTAAGCCTCCCACTCTCCAATATTTTTAAATAAATATCTTTTAAATAAGTATATTATTTAATTGTTATACTCTATTCTTTTCAAGCAAATAAAAACGATTCATCTAAGTTCTTGTATCTTATTTTTAAATTATTATTTTAATAAAAATGTAGTAGATAAATTAAGTTTTAGATATTTTTTTTCTTTTTAAAGAAGGAAAAACTATATAGCGTCATTTCTATTTAAAAAGTATAAGAGAGATGTGGACCCAAAGTTGGGACCACGGAAGGAAAACACGGAACACGGATTAGAGGTAAGAAAGATATATTAAACAAAAAGGTTACAAAGATAGTGTAAGTGTAAGCGGAACTTACTATGTGCTAGTGTCCAATATTGGTAGTCGTACGTGGCTGATACTACGGTATTAGAATACTCTCTCTCTCTCTCTCTCTCTCTCTCTCAGAGTGTTATATCGCATACTTTATATAGTCCATGTTGTAGGTATGTTACGGTCTCACAAAATCCTCACTCCTGAACAGCCCTAAAATCAATTTTCCATCGACTTTTCTTCCATAGTTACCGAACTTTCCTACCATGTCAAAATTACCGAATTTTCCGGGTAACGGCAGTGCATGGCGGACTGTTAACTTATACAGGAAAAGAAAAGTTTAGACAACAGAGATATTGCTTTAGAGCAGAATATTAGTAATAACATGGATGGAGCTTGGAGACAATAAGGACTTTTTGACGAAAACGAAAAAAAAAAAATCCGCATAAATTCAGAAAGAGACAATAGAAACTTCTAGCACACATAAGGAGAAAATAAGTTTTGGATAATTTAACACTCATGGAGTATATTGAACATTATAGGGACATAGGATATCAATGAGGAACCTACAAAACGAAGTTCTGTAAATGGATGACAAAACAGCGAATGACACGGATAGTGCAAAGACTGCATGGCTAAGGGCTACAAGGGTTTGGAAGTCGGGTCGAAGCTTGATCAGCCAGGTCGCAATACATAAAGGAAGGACAACAAAACGGCATAGAAATATTACCTGAATAGTCATGGTTGGGTGGATACTGCTATTACGCTAAAAGCCAAGGTATTTCCTAGACTCCACGGTATGTGTGACTATCGATTGTGCAACCCACAGCATACGGCCACCCTGAGTATAATTTTCTCATATGTGCGTAACGAAAGGGTCACCATCGCGAAAAGAGTGACTCAGCACACCAAAATAAATTATAGTTTATACATTTGCATTGATTTTAATAGTTCATCCATCCACCACTGAGCCCTAGGTTGGATAATCGGGGCTCTCCACGTGTGCTTCTTATAATAAATAGATATAATAGGTCGGTTAATAAAATTTGAGAAATAAAAAGTCAACAACATGAAACCAATACTGGAAATAAGATGGATGATATTTATGATGTATTAGCCTTTTGACTAAATTGAAACAGAAAGAGAAATATTTCAAAGTCGGTCTTTTCGGTCACGCCTGTGTCCTTTTTCAATGAGACAAGGAATAAATAAAGTAGTGGGAATTATTCTTCCGAGCAATGTTTTTGTTGATGCTTAAATGTTGAGAAAACCCAAATCCAGGTTTAATCCCTCAATGTGTGATTTTATTTTGAAAATATATTTCAACTCCGATCTGCATCTTTCTGCTCGGCTGTTGAATAAAAACTCTAAAAGTAAGCATCTGATGCCATCAATGCTATGGAACGGTGGGTTGAGTTGTGCAGCGACAGGATTTCTGTTTTTGTTTGATGATTTCTTTCAAAGCTTTCTTTTAGTGCTTCAATTTAGCAAACAGGCTTATATATAATAATTATCATCAATCTCTTTGCCACTATTGTTATGATTTACTTGGCTTTTTATTCCTCAAATTTCATTAACCGGCCTATTAAATCTCTCTTTCTCAATCCGTCTCTCTCTCTCTCTCTCTCTCTCTCTCTCTGTCTTAATAAATGTTTTGTATCTGCCAAACTTTTTCCTTCGTTGTGGATAAATTGGTCATATTTCATGTTGTGTAGCCAAAAGATATCATCTCACATGCGTTGTCAGCAGTGGGTGCGAGCAGGAAAAATAAGTATACTTAGAGTTAATCAATCTGGCTGGAAACTAAATTGAATGCCTGTAAACTCAGAGATCCCTGTGAAAGCTACGTAAAATAATGCGTGATATTTTAAAATCATAAATATAATAATATGTGATATTTTAAAAACATACTTTTAATAATCCAGAATTTATTGCTATTTTTTTTATTTTTGGAAGGTTGCATGGGACAACACAACCATATTTATGGCCAATTTATTAACATGTATTTGTGCAACACGCTCTCCTTGGACGATTTTCAATAACGCAGCAGATCGATGAAGATCGCTTCGATCTCGGATCTGCTTTTTACCAGGTTGTGATTTAAGTTTAATCATGAGGAGGCCAAGATAGAATAGTAGCAGATATTTTCGTGTTGGACTTGTGCAATTAGGACGAAGACATATAGGGAAAACATAACACTCGAATAAATTAAATAAAAGTAAACACTTTTCTTATATCAGTCCTTCGTACAATTATGGTTATATCAGAGTTCGCATGAAATTGATTATCAGCCCAAAACACGCATCTAAAACGGAAGTGATATTATTGTTGACTTGGTAAAGTTTGGTGTGCGGTCTTGGTAAAGTTCGGTACAAGGCTGAAGATGAGAGTGTCACGTGGGGTATAGCACAACCGGTAGCTGGGGCAAACTCTCTGTTATCTTTCTCTTGTCTCCGTCTCCGTCTCTTCTTCATCTCTTCACTCTTCTGCTTAATTCGCTTCGCGCATTCGTATTTATGGACGTTTGCCCAAACTGACGAAGTCAGAGAACTCGATAATTCTAGAGAATTCCCTTCTTCCACTCTCTCATATTCTTACCTCTCACTAAATGTCCTCAGTAACCGTGGGTGACTTATCCACCCCCTCCTTGTATTTCAACTCAACTTTTGCCCAGGGGAATCGATTCCAAATTCGTTGTTTACGAAAAATGAAATTTTTGCTTTACGGCTTTCATTTTCAACTGTGTGTCAATCAACATTACCCCTTAAGTATGGGTTACTTTTCCATTGTTCAAAAACCTCGACATACAATTCAAGACATTTATGTGGGAATTAAATCCTCAATTCTCCTACGGATTTTAGGTATTAACCCTTTTCGTTTCAATGTCTCAGCACATAACACTCTTTTATATTTTAACAAAATTTTCTTCAGTTTTACCGCGGCAACAACAAATAGTATTACAAACAAAATAACAACCACTTTTGCGAAAGTATATGTGTCCATTATAAAAAAGGTCATTAAATTTAACTGGCATAAAATGTCTATTGTTTTTAATAATCCCTGTTTAAAAGAACGTTTACTACATATGTACAGCACTAAGTAGAAGCGTGTACTCTATGAAGCCTCTTAGAACCCGAAATATGTTTAAGTTCCAGGTAAGCTACAAAGAGTTGATAAGCGGTAAAAACGATGTCCATTCTTCAATCAAGCGAGCTGGCCATGCACACACACACACACGCACGCACTTGCACAAGCACACGGGCAAAAAACACGCACGTCACAAAAAACTTCGACATAAATTATACATATTGTAATTCGAAGACAATATGAACCATCCAAAAACAATGACAACGAAGCCATTAACACGTCATCTATGAACAATAAATATAATGATAATGTCGACAATAAAGAAACCTCCCCCCCCCTTTAAAACGAACAAAAGAAATACTTCGGTGAAATTATTAGACACAGTGGTAGGGAAGGGAAGATTTGTTTTTTTAAAATTCACTGTATGTTGTTCTTAATGTTCTTTGTGAAAATTCCCCAATGCCCTTCATTCAGGCGACATTCTTATTGATGGCGGACATTTACAAGATCTAGTCATTGATAAGTTATATATTCACTTCCGTTCTCTAAGGATTTACCATACATTAGGAACAGAAAACGCGAACAATTTCTAGCCAAATGAATAAACAAAAGAAACATCCTAGAAATTGTTTAAAAACAAAACGAATGAAACAGTAATCTGAAGAATTTTGTGCGTTTTGTATATTTTTTTTATTTGTTTTTCAATATTGTGAAGGAGGAAGAAATTTATATTGAACTATGTATGTAAAATGATAGACTAACGTTGGTTAGTGGGTGATCAGGGACGAGTTTCTGTGTAGAATTCAGGTGACATCAGGTAATACAAAGTGGGGAACTTTACATATTGTGTATTTTAAAACATCCTGATTGATTTACAAAGGCCTTTAAATGCAAACTCAATAATTACCCATTAAAATTCTAAAAGTAATAACTGTTAATAAATTATTTCTTAAATTTAGTGTTAAATATAGATAGAAAAAATAAAAACAATAGTAAAATATTTCCCATGAAACCATGACAATTAATAACAATCGTAGAATTTGAACCATAAATATATTCAAATAATAACCATAGTAGAATTTTGACCATAAAACATTACAATTATTAAAATAGTAAAATTTATATATATATATATTATGAAATGGACAAAGTCCGACAATTATTTAAAGACATTTTTTTGTTTAACATTCTTTTTATAGATACAAACATTTAAGTAAATGCTCTGTTTAGAATAAACAATATTAAACAACATTTACCGGCCTGAATGTCCAAGAAATTTTCATAGAAAATATTCGTCCTTCGACAGGATTCAAACCTGTATCCTATACGGAACCGTCATTTAGTTTGACGTGCCTTTACCAATTTGGCCACGAGGGATCGTGCAGTTAGCGAGGTCGTTTTTACTGTATTTGAACTTCAATTTTCTATGAATGCCTTATACTTAAATATACTTAAATATTCAAATACTTAAATATTTGTATCTATAAAAAGAATGTTAAACATAAAAATGTCTTTAAATAATTGTCGGACTTTGTCCATTTCATAATATGTATATCTTCGCTATGGTATCTAGATTTTATGTATTTAAGAGCAGGTTTACATTGGCGTCAGGGTCTCATCAATTTACAGTTGAATTGGTACCATGCTTTCGAGTCAACTTTGAACTTCAATACTTTAAATTCAGTGTCAGACGTTATTTAGGGGTATCTTGATAAATCGTCTTTTGTTCTCGATCCTTAAAAATGTTTTTCTTTTTTCATATTCTATCACATTCAATAACAATTTTAGTCAGTCTGGCTTTAGTGTCTTGCAGTAACTATTTTAACTACGAAAAAAATGTACACTATTTACATTACTCGGTCTACTGCCCTCATCTCTGTTGCCATATTTATCACAACGTTTCGGCCGTTGTAGGCTCCGGCTTTCTTCAGTTGGTTGGAATGTCGAACTGAACCCTTTATTTCATTCGCTGGAGTAGACTGTTCTAGTTCCACGTGCCATGTTTGAATAATATAAATAGTGTACATAATACCTCATCTCAAAAATATAGACAGAAAAAATTGTGATGCTGACCATCTTTCGCAACAAGAAGGAAAATGGAATTTAGATATTATTTATTTGCATATTAGTTCCTTTATATGTTTCATTGAATATTACGGGCAAGGAAAATGATTTTTAAGTTTTTGCGTGTCTTCACAATCATTGTCTTATGAGAAAAAAGAGTTTGTCATAACTGCCTGTAGATATTATGATCCCGAGCGCGTTCGATAAATTCTTTATCTAATTATCCGTTAATTTTCGTTGTTGGTATAATCTTGGGCTGGTATTCTATGCTCTGTTGCATAGAATTAGTAATAAGGAAATTAGAAAAGCCGAATAAAAAAAAATGGGCATCCTCCTTGTCTGCTGCACTCAAAGAAACACACACACACAGATATATATATATATATATATATATATATATATATATATATATATATATATATATATATATAGTAAAGTACTGAAGGGTTTGATGATCCGTGTGGATAGTTTAAAAGAGGATGTGATCCTGAGTACTCAATGTAACAGCAGAGCAAATATTAATTAAATAATTAAAAGACAACTTTATATATATAAATTGGAATTTAAGTCATTACCCAGCGGCGACAGTCTGTTTCATGTTTAAACGCAATCTTCCGGTTATTAAAACAAACTGTCACCGCTCGATGGTGGCATCAATTGCTAATTTTATATCTCCATGCACTCTAGCCCTAATAATATTTTACCCGATAAATATAGCATACCTTCAGGTGCTGA